CCAGGGAACTCTTCACGAACTTTGCAGGAAGGGAAATCCCGAATATCTCTTTTAACAATACTCAAGTGCATAACCGGCCACAAGGGAGAGTTTTTCACAGTTCAAAATTCTAGTTCTAAATCTAGAAGAACAGATCTGGTCTGCTCCTCCTCAATGAATTCCTCAAAGTTCATGACATAAATTTTTATAGTTTCAAAAGTTTGCGCATTTTTTGATATATCATTTAATATCTGATTCCGACTTCATGAAATCAAAAGCTTTCTTTAATTCAATATGTGGGGAACATAGCAAATTAGAAGCATCTTTTGGCTATATTAAGTGCAAATGATTGGACAATATCTTTTAATAGAAAATGAGAAACTTTGTTGGAAAACAGAGTTAAGTAACAATGCACTTAATAACTAGGGAACTCTCTATTGTTCTGCGGCATTGCAACTTYCCCACRTAYRAATGTMTTGGTKTTCACASTRATTATATATCAACCTATGGGTAACACATTTTTGAAATAAAATGTKGATAAACTCTATTTTGAAACAAAGTTTCTTTTGTATTAAAAGCTCTTATCCAATCATAAGCACTCAAAACAATAGCCAAAATGCTTTTAATTTGCATTGCTATGTTCCCCACTAAGAATTGCCTTAATATTGAAGCTAAAGAAAGCTTTCGTGAAAGTGAAAACAGACATCAAATAAAATATTAGAAATTGCGCTAACTTGTAAAATTATAGCAGATTTTCAGCATGTTTTAACCAATGGAATGGATAGATTATACAATGCACAATAAGCACCTTCATGCATTCCTTTGCCGTTTGCTTCCCTAGTTCTTACTYGGGGCATTACTTAATCCACATTTTATTTTAAAAATGTGTTACCCATAGGTTGATATATAATCAGTGTAAAAACCAAGACATTCGTACGTGGGTCGGGAAGCCGCAGAAGAACAATGGAGAATAGAATATCTAAAAGTTTCATTATTTGTGTTCAAGCTTTATTTCTTGTGTGCGGATTCTTGGATCAGAAAGACGTTCAWTTGGTTTAAAATTTGGTAATGTAGGCCTCTTTTTGAAGAGATAGACAGGCAATTCAGGAGGACGAGGGCAATTTTTGCTTCTTTTATAATATAAAGTTCTTTCAACTCGCTGTATTTCTGCTATTGTCTCGCTGGATTGTATTTTTAACAGTTCCTGGGCATGCTTTGCTAGGTGTTTGGCTATCTCCTCTTTGCTTTTCAAACCGGTTTGACTAGTTTGTCCAGATTTTAAAGAACTCATTGTTATCGATCCAGATTCAAAACCAGTTTTGGCATGAATTCTTGCCAATTGACTGAAACTTGACCTTGACATTGTTTCGTTTSGGTCTGATACCGGTAAAACAGGTTTTAGATAGCGAGATTCAAGTTGAGCACTGCTTATCACGWGATTTCTCGTAGATTTGTTTTTCTTCTTTTTCCTTTTAGGGGTTTTAACTGACTGGCATGGATTTTCATTGGATAAAAATTCTCCACGTTCATTGGTTGAAAAGTATARGTAGTTTGCACTGCGTTGTCGAGAAGCGAGGAGAGAGCACTGGGACGGAGAAAAGCCACGTGGGAATGTGACGTTTGTGTACTTGTGCGCAGGCGCTGTTGGTTGCTCCGATGTGAGCTTTTCTTCTAAAAACAAAAGCAATGATAGAAAACGCCTTTCAATTATTGGCAATATGACTGAATTAACACTATTTTCTACATGTCTGAATGGCAGCTTATGCGTCCTTTTGCTCCACTAAACCCTTCCCCTAAAGCCACCATGCAGGTATTATGGTTATTATAAAACTAAGTCTTCCACTAATAGTCTCCCTCACGGATACCTGCGCCATCTTGAAAGGTAGCCGTGACTTTACATCTAAGCGAGACGACCGTTGAGCGTGCAGTGATAGATACCTTTGAATAATTGTCTGTAGGCGTGAAAAAAGGTTCTATCGTTGCACGCTCAACGGTCGTCTCGCTTCGATGCAAAGGCATGGCTACCTTTCAAGATGGCGCAGATAACCGTGAAGGAGACTATTGACCTCTAAGTCACCACTTGATTTTCAATGCATCGTGGGACCAGTTTCTAGAGAAAACAAATTAAAAGAAATATACCCGCCATGTTGGCTGTCCCAAACATATCCTACAATGCATTGCGCATGTGGTAAATGACATAGTCCATATCGCAACCAGCGGAAAGCCTTGTGACACAGTACATTTTGGGATTGATAAATGAGTAAACAAGTGAAAAACGATGTCAGTGCTCCATTTCTCTGTAACGTAGACTCAGTTTTCGAAAAACATTGGGAAATATTGATGTTGTACGTAGTTAATCTCAGAAGCGAAAAAACAAACAAATCATCAACATGCAAGGAAATACAGCAAGAAAAACCTCCAAAAAATGTACAGTTAATCGAGAATTTCCATTTACTAGGCAAATCAAGCAAAAATGAAAAGAAACATATTTTGTCTGTGGAAAAGTCGAAACTAATTAGTGTTTTTACGATTTTAGCGATTTGTTTTGATGAAGAAAGGGARATATATATCCCATGATACATTGCAAAACCATTCAAAATGGCGGACTTGTGATATGGACTATGCATAATAGCTTCAGAGGTCTATTTGTGATGACGAATTTTCATAAACTGTTTTTTTCCTTTTCGCATTGTATGGATACTAGATGCTTGTGTCTTTCGCTGGAAAAAATCGCGCTTTAAAGGTTGTAAATTTGATGTAAATATGATGTAAGTGTCCAAAATTCTGTAAATTTGATGTAAATGATTTCTATTAAATTTACAGAATTTTGGACACTTACATCATATTTACATCAATATTTTACATATTTACAACCTTTACATGTAAAGCGCGCTATTTTTTCCAGTGTTTTCTCAGTTAAAAGCTGAGATTAAAAAAGGATTTTTAGGAAATTACTGGATTATTTATCAATTTTTATACATTATTGACTGCTTATTGAAATACCATCATTTTCTTGTGTGYCTTGTTGCTCAGCTTTATCATTTTCAGATGGTTCGTCAGGATCTTCAACTTCTTCCAAAGTGGACAGAAAAGTTTTTATCTTTTCAAGGCGTTGGAACATAAGTTCTCCACGGTTGTCTTGCGTTGACAAGATGCGCTGTGCTTTCATTATGTTCCTTCAATTTGAAAAGGTTTATAAATGCGTTAAGTACGTCAAACATTCTTTCGTTCTTTCTGTTTTTTCTCTTCTTTTTATGRATTTATTAATACTTATTCATTCTTGTATATCAAGCTTCTAAGCTGATATACAAGCTGGCCGAAACCTGCAATCAATGCAATGCATTATGGCCAAGAACAACACGTTGAAAGCCACATAAATATGTTTTTATTATCCAACGATCTTGGCAAACTGCTGCGCTTGGTTACTCGTGTTTTAGAGCGAGGAAATCCGACCATGCTAAATTACAAAATTAGATTAAATTACTTGCTTTTAAAGGCATTGAGTATAGTTCTCTTTGTAAATTTTAGTCACAATAACATGCAGGAAAATATAGCATTTTTATAAATTAAATGAATCTTAAAAGGTAGTTTTCATAACTGAACATCTGCGACATTTTAAAATGCTGTCGCATCTAGAATACTCTATTTGCTTTCAAATTCGTCTAGTAGCAGAGGATTTTCATATGACAACAACGGCCTATAGTAAATTCGATTTTGGATCCCATAGCATGAATAAGTTAGAGCCTTATTTTAACGATAAAATTCAACTTTTCATAAAAAACTGAGCCGGAAAATATCAACATGCAAGTATTTTTCTAGAAATTCGCCGAGTTCTCTGGTTTAATCTTATACGGAATATCCCTGAAAGCGATGCTTTTGAACTCGAATAACATCATCTTGAAATTATAGCTAGAAAAAAGTCGACATAATTTGTCAAAGTAAAATATATAATTTYTACCTTATAATTCAGCACTTTTTTAGCTGTATAGATGGCATGGATTATGTATTTTTCCTCGCAGCAAAACTGAACAGAAAAATGGCTGCCTTACTTTGAAGCGTTTTGTTTTCAAATTCGCTTCTTGTAACTAAGCAATGGTGACAGGTTTAGATAAAATACTCGACCAGTATTCATAAATTCACCAATTAACACCAAAAATAASTACTATTCGCGCATTCTATTGGCTGAAAAAATGTATAAACGTCCTTTTGAAATCCTATATATTTCTGGGCAATTATTGTAAATTTACATGAGCTTATCCGTTGTTAGTCATTCTTATTCGTAACGTTTTATATTCTGATGGAAACATAAGAGATCAAGACACGCCGTTTTGTCTAGTACAGGGTTTAATAGCGGCAAGGAGCAAAACAAAACTAAAAGCAACAAAACAAAAATAAAAATCAAAGAATACCAAAAACAAAACAACAACAAACAAAGCAAAAACAAAAACAAAAAACAAGMAAGACAAACAAGCAAATACTAAAACAAAAAAATTAAAAAGATACAAACAGAACAAAACAAACAAACAAACAAACAAAMAAAAAAGAAAACAATAGGCCTATGGGGAAAATCTATGACATACCAGCTTGGTCACTGTCAATATGTCTGCGTCTTTACTATGAAGCGCGCCGTCATTACGTGGCATTATTCCTACGGCTTTATTCAGAGTGCCATTACGTGTTTGCAACTCGGTACAAAAAATAAGTAGTATTAATTTTTACTAAAAGAGAACCTGAAGCAAGACGCTATTGAATGCTTCATTTGTATCAATTCAATTTGCGTAGAGTGATCGCACTTAATCGTGCAACTGTACAAACTAAATAGTGCTATTTAGTTAGAAAATCGTACAAATGAAATAATCCAAAATACTCAAAAATATTGTTTCGACAACTGGCACTTCATYTTATTTTACTTCATTTTATTTCTTTCGTAATTTTACACTGACGTGCATGTTTAAATATAAATAAATTTACACTATTTTGATAAGATAGAGTACAAACATTAAATGTATGCAACACTTTCCACTATTTACTACAAAAYAGTGTTAACTAAACAATAGAAAACAATAGAATTRGCATAATYTAGCAGTATTTAGTGGTATTTATGTTGCACAGTTTTAGTGTTTGTACATAAAACGCCTTCGCGTGCATTTGTTTTGGATGCCGAGAAGCTGAGACCAAATGGTGACGTGTGAAGTACAGTAAAAATAAGAATTTGTKTAATAATAAAGCCGTTATTTCAGCAGATTACTAAATAAAGTCACAACTAAGTTATTTTTTTCTCCAATTGATTGCAAGAACATCACCAATTATTACAAGGGGATAGCATAGTCGCTTGTGACTCGTTCMGAGGMACTAGCCACAAAAAATAACCCTTGATAGGTGGACTTTTTAAAAATCGATGAGATTCTGGCAAGAAAACGTAAACAAAATAATAATGTGGACATTAAAAAAAAAAAACATTGCAAAAACATGCATACACCTGCTTGCAGAAACGTTGTCATAGAAAATAGGACGTTTGTATTTAGTAAAAAGGAATAAATTAAAACAAGACAAAAGAAGATTACTGAGGCTGACCGCTTTCTTTTGTCCTGTTTTAATTTATTCCTTTTTACTAAATTCAAATGTTCTATTTTCTATGACAACGTTTCTGCATGTAGGTGTAGTATCCCAAACCCCTAGTCAATGTTGCCCTTTAAAATGCAGATATGATCACACTTTTATGCAACATTGGTTAGCGGGAGAGTAACTGACATAATTTTACAAAATTTCATTATATTTTGTCCACCTTTAGCTACACCCTCCTTAACCCAACTACTGTTTAATACTAGAGAAACTATTGTTCAGTGAGTGTATTTCACAGGTCTGCCATTATGTTGTTAGCACTATGATAACCTGTTTCACTATTTTTAAAATTGCAGTGAAGCACATGTYTTAAAATAAATAAATAATCTGTTAACTAGTTTTTAAGTCCATTGATAGCCTGTTACTTGCACCCTTATAACATGCTATCAGGGGGATGCAAATTGCTGACGACCCAACAAGCAACCAGTTCATCCACAGAGGACTTGCTTGTGGGAACATAAAACCAATGAAGAACAAGAAATTGATTGAGTAGACTGTCARTATAAGAACTCCAGATGTTATWCCCTCAGCGACTGGGAAAGCACACTCTGCYGCAACCTCCATTATAAGRGGCACAGTGCCGGAGTAGAAAACAGTCTGTGTTATGCCTGAAGCATAGAAGGTATAGAGTGTGAGGGGAATGACTTGGTCACAAGCTAAAGTGAGAACCAGCTGAGCAGTGGAGGTGCAGACAAACAGGAATATYAAAATAGCCTTTGCATGACGCTTCATTCTGTCAGTGTACCTGCAAAGAAAAAGGAAGTATCAATAATCAAATCTCGTACCCAGAGCCCGCACTTTTGCCATCCAGCGGAWGTCAATGCGTGAGAGACTCTKGGGGAATGCGTTATTTCTCGATTTCTGATTGGTTGAAAATGACGCGAGCGCGCATTGTTTTCAAGTCGATTTTTTAAGTCGCCAGCGTGCGCTCGCCTTGTTAGTCAAGAAAATCATACTTTTATCGCATAAACACACATGTTTTCACACATATTTGTTTTTAAAAAGGTGTCAATGCCGTTCCTAAACTAAGTTGTGTGCTAAACCTTTTTCTTATTTATCATTTTAGTGCTCTAAAAGCAGAAAACAAATTGACCTCATTTGCATAATTTGCGACGGAAAAGCGTCGTAAATCCAGTCGATTCCTCCAGAGTCTTTCTGGCGTCAGCATACCGCTGACTTTAGCGTTGAAGACTCTGGGCTCGAGATTGTCAATAATCAAGCTATCAATGTAAGTATCGGATCTGGCCACCATATTGAAAGATATTTTTGRCTTTGTATCAAAATGAGACAACCACTGAGGGTGCAATGATAGATACCTGTGAATAATTGTCTGTAGGTGTGAAAGAAGGTTTCTATCATTGTATACTCAAATGGTTGTCTCGCTTCAACAGAAAGCCGGGACAACCTTTCAAGAGCCCACAGGGGAGTCTAGACATAACTACAGAATTAGTCACACTCTACATCTACTGTATGCATCCAAATATTCTAATTATCATCATGTCCAAAGACACACTCTACATTTTCTGATTTTAGAATCAAGCAGGTTATGTAGAAATTMCCCTTTTTCATTATAATGTCACATCAAAACATTCTATTGTAAATTTTAACTCTATGGATTATGGACAAAGTGGGAATCAGAGTAACTGTATATCAAATAAAATGTACATGAGCAATAGATCTCTGATGCATGACATCCATCAAAACATGTTGCATCRAAGTTCTACTTTAAGAGGGAATATAAATGGGTCAAAATTTACAGTTTTTGAGCCACTTTTTCCAATGTAAGCATAACTGACATCACAATAAAATAGGKTAAWTCTAAAGATGGAAAATAGCATCCTAATACTGAAGTAATAAGTTTGGGAGCTTGAAAAGGCTAGGAATACCCAGCCTTATGTCGACTATTGTATGACTGGTCAGGGTACATTGTTTACCATAGGATACATGTAGGCAATCACCTCTGTCAGTTTGGCAAAAGCAAATTAATAAAAAAAAAAAGAGAATAATAACTATTCTGAACGATTATGGAGTCAGTAACAGGGTTTGTGCTACATTTTCACTACAAAATTCCAGGACTTTTCAATAGTTCTTTTTAAGCACAAAAATGTGATTTTCAAGGAGTTTTTAGAAGATGTTTTTTGATATTTCCAGACGTTTTAAGTGGCAATTTTCAAAAATAGCCACATTTTAATCCAAAAGCTAACAAGCAACATGTCAATTTTATCAGATTCAAAAAGTTTTCCAGGAGTTTCAGCCAAGTTCCCCATTTTCAATGGCTTTTAAGCGCCCTTGAAAACAAGTTTTCAATTCCAGGACTTCTCAAGGACTTCAAGGAGTAGCACRAACCCTGYAGTAAAGAACAATCTTACCATGAAAAGACAATTGCAACCAGAGAAGCAATATTTCCAGAAAAMCCAAGCCATCCAGCTGCTTTCTGACTTATTCCAACATGAGAAAATATCAAATCCTGGACACTGGACCATCCCCAATTGATTCCATTACTCACGCCGAAAATAACCAATAACAACCAAAAATGAYGATTCTGYAGCAATGTTCTTGCACCAACACCAAAGTCAAGCCGYTCCACAGATGAWGACTTACAAGGAGGACTTGGAGGCTTTGAGGGGAAATAAATAAGMGCAGCAAAGAASARTATTCCAAGAATAACGCACTCAGCAAGAATATACTCATTGATTTTGCTTTCTAAGTATTCAATGTCTTTCTGTGATGTCACATTACGGAGGAGGTCAATATCAATYTTTTCGCCGTGACTATAAGTGATATTAGTACCATATCCAACATCAGGGACTATATATGGACCCATAACRTAACTTGTTGCAGAGCCTAAGTATGATCCTAAAGTTGCAATAGCTGTTGCWGTCATTCTTTCATTGGGTGGGAACCATGTTGCGGACAGGACAACAACACCTACATTTTGAACGGCTGGGACAGCTACRGCAATGATGAATTCTCCAAGTGATATCAGTGCTGTACGTAAGACATATGGACGTAACGGGAAAACTTCACATAGGACTCCAACAACTTGTAGTGATAGTGATGAAAGAACAGCAACCCTGAGTCCTGAAAATGGTGGATGGATTAAGTGCTAATGCCACAAATAACCAGCAAACAAAAAATAAAAAAATGAAAGGTTGGGTGTCACGTGTGGCCTAGTGGTTAAGCTGCTGGCCTCTCACCGCTGTGGTCCGGGTTCGATTCCCGGGCACGGACCATATGTGAGTTTGAGTTTGTTTGATGTGTTGTTCTCTCCCTTGCCACGAGGGTCTTTCTCTGGGCCCTTCGGTTTTCCTCCCTCAGCAAAAATYAACATGTGAGGAGTGTTGTGTGCTAAAATACTTAATGTAGAGGTAGTGAGGGTGAGAGTACAGGGGCTGTAAAGCTGTTGCAGTGTTCCTGCCCAAACTCATAGGTGCAAAGCTAATAAATTAAATTTGATTATTATAATTTAGCTTGAAAAAAKATCATTCATTCAGTAATTCAGCATTTTGTTTCAGCCATATCAGTAAAAGTATAAATAAAACTTTGYCAAAACAGACATTGAAATGAGTTACCCTGGAAACCAGAGGTTGRAAATTACCATTTCTGAYRKTTWATTC